CAATATTTAGGCTGCTGCTGGCCCAAATTTCATATGGGCCAATTCACTGCCATGAGGTGAGGCCTTTCTCCTTTAGTCATCATTTCTATTTAAAACAGTAACAAGAGCTAACGCTACAGTGCTTACTATATGGTGGACAAGGTTCCAGGCACTTTACATAGAGTAACTGATTTAAACCCTCACAAAAACCTGACGTGGGTCCTGTTCTTATAACACTGAACAGAAGAGGAAACTGAGGCTCAGAGGATTGAGCCTCAGTAGCCCAGTAACTGGTCCAAGGTCACACCACCATGATCTGGACCTTGGCAACGTGGCTCTGGAGTTCACACTCAGAATCTTTTTGCCAAACTGCCCACAAATCCACAGCCCAAACACAGATTTTCCCACGTCAGCTGAGCCCTCATGACCATACTGCCACCCCATCACCATCAGCCAGCAAATGGCCTCCCTGGTCTTCACGGAGAATACACAGCTCCCGGGTGTGGCCGATCTGTGCGGGTATCCTCGCACCATCGACTTGCCCGCGCCCCCAATGTTCCCTCAAAACAAATGCTCCCTGGGGCTCTCACTCCTGACTCCCTCTCGGCCTCCCCAGGAACCTTGCTCTAAGAATCTCCTTTGTCCCCTTTATCTCCGATCTTGTCTCTTCTGCCTTTTCCCACTCAGCCGGGAAACCTGTTCGAGTGTACCACCTGCAAAAAAAAAAAATCCTTTTTGATCTTCAACCATTTTTAATTTAATTTTGACCACTATCTCACTTTGTGACCCTGGGCAAATTGCTTACTCTCTAACAGGCTCTAATTTTTGTATCTAAATAACAAGAGCACTGGACCAGAGGGTCTCTAAGGTCCTTCTTACTCCAACATTCTGTGGTTCTTAAAGCAGAGAAGATTTCTTTGAGCAAGCTTATGAAAACTCAGGCCAGCTTCTTTATCGTCCCTGAAGCCCCAAAGTTAATTTCCTTCAAAGACTGTCAAAGCTGCTCCCACGCCAGCAATGCCCCCCCTCTTCCTCTCCATTCAGTTCCCAAATCCCGGTTTTCCTTTAAGACCTGGCTTAAATCCCACCTGTGCCAGGAGATCTTGATCTTTAACTCTTACAGAACTTTAGTTATAAACCACAATTCAGCACTCTCCTTCGGTAGCGCCCGACCTTTCATATTTTGGCTCTGCGTATCTCCATTCTCTTATAGAGGCTAAGCCCTCAGAGAGCAGGGACCATGTCACAGTTCTCTGCAACCCCAAAGGACCTCCCAGTAAGTGGATCTGCAACAGGTGCTCAGCAATGCTGGCTGAAGGTCATCCTACAGCCATTAAAGAAACTAATGGTCCAGGTATATCACAAGACTCTCTGATTGCGAAGGAGATTACCTCTAGTCTTTTCTCTCTCACGTACATAAATTTGTACATGTAAAAGCTTTCCTTCAAGAGCATCATCCAAATTTAACATCAGGAAAGCTTAGCTAACTCTTTGGTTTTCTTTTCTCCGAATAGGAAGTGGTTATAGCCATATTTCCCTTTGATCCAAACTTAAGTGAGCACAGGCCCTGTAACTTTACGGGCCTCTAGTTGATCCAGGCGCTACACTTCACTAACGTGTATTCTCCATGGTTATTAAGTTCCCCTGCTTTTCAACACATATAGCATTATGTTACTTCCTCACACTTGTAACCAAATTTCCAGGAAACATCTGGAATAATATCAGAGTTGGTATTTGATCAAAACTACATCCTCCGCTTCATTCATTTGGAAGTGACTAATTTCAACCCTTAGGTTTGAAGTGAGCATAGATGGATGAGTTTCAGGAGTTTGCTAACACTTACCAACAGAAACACACAGACACACTGAATCACCAATGAACACCCTAAAACGGTGTTCACCTCTCTGCCCTAAGACGGCGACTCAGGTATTGCTCAGTACTATGAGTGCTGTTCTCTGTTTTGCAATAATCCCGGGTAACTACTGCTATTCAAAGTGAATTCCAAAGTTATTCAAACAGAATTTTAAACTCAGTTTAATATTTTTAAGTGAATGCTACAGAACACTGGTTCTTACCCCC